ATGATAATTATAGAGCAAAGTTTGCTCTATGGTAAAAAGCAACCAAATGTATTAACGCAGCTGATGAATTTGGACAATAACGGTGAAGGAGGCAGCAGGTGTGAGGCAGCAGATGCTCCCTGAAAACAATTGTTTCTTGTGCCATCTCTGGCGCGTCGTTCCTCACCTGGTGTTGGTAGTACAGGAGCGGCTCATGATCAGAGAAATAGTGTTTTAGCCTGTGAGTTTATATATCTGTTAGTAAAATGCTAAATGAACCACTGGATGAATTGGAGTGAAGCTTTCAGAAAGTAAACACTGAGTGCACATAAACAACAGACTAACCTTTGGGTCCAACACAATTCATGATGGCCGCCACAACTAAAAGACCATAGCAAACACATAAAAGGTTGTAAGTAAGTCAGATTTACATTTACTGAGTTAAAACTTAGAGGCTGATCTACCAAGATCCCAAATAAAGAGCACTAAATTGCAAGTGCAAACTAAAAAAAAAAAATAGCATGCCATGTGCTATTAGTGAGCATGGTGTGAGTGATCTAGTCAAAATGCATGCGCTAATTTGCAGGTGCAAACTTGGTGTGGACCCCACTGTTGAAATGTGGCTTTTGTGTGTTTTACTGGCATGTTGACCCCCTCGGATGTTTACCTGTGTACTGACCTTCAGTAATCTGTAAATTTCTGAAGGGGATGAGTTCTGAGGCGGAGCAGGGGAATGAATAAGGCCGTGTGAAGCGCAGCAGCAGGTACAAGGACTGCAGCCAGTTTGCACGTGCCTTTCAAACACGCCAAATATCGACGCAAAAACAGCAACCGCAATCAGTTTTGGGTTTGATCTCACTGCGGTGTTAAAGGATTATATCTGCAAGATCTCCTCTGAGGATTTTGCACTGGATTCTGCATGAAGTCAAACACACTAAATGGACTGTCTGCTCCAGGGGCGGGGCCAGAGGCCAAACGTCCTCAGCTGAAATCTGACTGGCCTCCTGAAGTACCCAACCTGTCACTCATCTGTCCTTTGCCTGAGACACGAACGAGCGATTCTGAGAGCGATGATGATGCAGTTCCATGTCCAAACACTAGTGGTGCCAATGAGTCAAACAAGAGAGTCCAGCATGAATCAAGCTTATAAAAGTCTTATTTTCATTTTTTATCTATGTATGTTTAAATGCATGTAAAACTGGTGAGGAGAATTTACTGTGAAAGCTTTTTAAAATTACATTACAAGCAGTGGCACATGTGTGACTGGTTAAATATAGACACTTTACCAAAAGTGATTTGTAAGGATGCTGAACAAAAAATTGGCTCTCTATGAATATGGTGGTCCCTTAATGACCACTTTAAATGGAAAAATCCTAGATCCACCACTGGTCTGCTCAGTTTACAAATACAATTCTTGGTGCACACAATTAATAAGTCAGCTTTGTGTGTGTTATGAAGTTTATGCGCCATTTTACATGTGCAAACCTTTGACAAATCAGCCCTTTAGTGTAGTAGTAGCTGAGCCTCACCCTCAAAACAAGAGTTATCTCAGCTCACAGGAACTCACATCATTTCTAAGTTTTGTCCAAAATGTTTACACTTGTCATTTCTCAACAGAAGATTTTGTTCAAAACGGCGTGAAAGGCAGCGGGTGATATGCATTCCTTTCAAGGAATGCTTGGCCTTTAATTTAGGACATGTTTCTCACAAAATTCATAAGAAAATCTCAACATGACTGATTCAGGCGGGGGATCAAATATTCAACGGAAAGAGGAAAAAAAATTGAAGAGGAAAATGGAGCCGTTGAGCTAAACGTCCTGCAGGGAGGGACTCAATACTGACAGACCAATAATATGGTGTCGCTTATGCTTTTGGAAACAGATGAGAGAAACTATTTTCTGCATCCAGTTTTTTTTGTTTATTTACCAGATGATTCACATAAAGCTTTCCTGTAAACAATTACTGATTATTATTTAATATACCTGAGGAAGGGATTCATCCTGGACTGTGTTTTAAACAGCTGCTGTGGTTCGTTCAACTTCACAAGAACTATTCTTCTTAGAAAAGCCTTTTATGTGCAAATTTTTTTACACCTTTTTTTAATGCAGCTCCAGTTCTAACAGTAACACAGACAGGAAATTGCTTATGAACCCTGACTGACCTTTAAATAGAAATGATATGGTTGGAAATCACTCAAAGTATTACATTTTTTAAAATATCGGCTGTATTTTTCTCTACTTCTCACAAGTTTTGCAGATAAACGTTTGACTCGTTTTAGCGTGTGTTTATTGGAGAATCAGAAAATTCACTTAAATGAAAATTTCACAAGATAATCGGTAGCTTTGATTACAATGATATGGTCTTTTTGGCTAAATTATAGCCTCTAGGAAGGGGCAGAAAGAGCTTGGGGTGGCACGTATACCACCCTTATATTGGCCACCTCAGTTTAACAATTGTAAACACATGGATAACTTCATCTTAGAGTAACTGAATGCAGAGTGCTCTCCCAGAACCACTGTATGCTGGTTTTGTCAGAGTCAATGGTGCTTCAAAGAGGACAGAGAAAACTGATGAGACCAAATGTTTATCAAGGTGCTGCATTAGATGTGAGTAAATATGTGGAAATAAACTGAAACACAGTTTGTTCGCCTTTAACGTGCCAGAATGTGTGAGATGGTTTTGGCACAGCTGATCGATCCCATTATCAGAGTGTTTCTTGAAACATCGATTTACCTCATGGAAACAGACAAACATGAATAAGAGGCAAATTGTTTACCAAAAAAATGCTTTGTGACTGCTGTTTGTCAGGCATGTAATTTTCTGGTGGCACTGCCGCATAGTTTAATTAATGGTGCCTAATTCCACCTTCTGCACAAGTGTGACTTTAAACATCAAGCTTTTTAACAATGCCAGCAGTTTAGAACGGTTAATTCCAGAGAAAATCCACATGTGCACAGCGGGAACAGGGAGCTTTCACAATTGCACTGCCATGTCGCCCTCCTGAACTGGAGGTGTTCAAGTCTTCAAGTCTTGTTCTTGGTCACAAAGCTTTGGTATGAAAAGATCAAGAGTTTAGAATTTGAAACCTGGTGGTGCCAAATAGGCTTGTGCAGAATTGTATTGAGTGCGAACTGTCACCGATTAATATTTGCCACTGAAATTAGTGCCATACTGGCTGATACTGCACATCTTGTGCAACCAGTGACAGCGAAGTTGTGTAGCTGTCATTCATGCAAAAAAAGAGTAAGTTTTTCCTACTCAACACAACACGGTTTCATCACTGAGTGAACAGCACAGATCTTTGGGGCTCTGTCTCTTCTCTGGTAGAGAACTTCAAAGTAAAGCAAAACTGCCCTTGTGGAAAAAATCCCAGTGAGCTGGGTGTTATGGCTCAATGGTTAGCACCGAGTCCGACGCCTCACAGCAAGAAGGTCCTGGTTTCGATCCCCGGTTCGGACCTGGGCTCTTTCGGTGAGGAGTTTGCATGTTCTCTTCGTGCTTGCGTGGGTTTTCTTCGGGTACTCTGGTTCAGTGGTTCCCAAACTTTTTATCCTCTGACCCACAAAATATCCATGGCAAAAACTTGTGACCCCAAATATTACTGGTCTGAGTACACGAACTTTGTTAATAACCCTAAAATACAGTTTGTACAC